GACAGATTGTTTTTCTGAATGTTAAGCAATTTCCGATATTCCAAACGTCATTGTGATTTTGAAGGAGGTTTTTCATATGTCTTGAACCTTGTAGTTTTATTGCCAGTCCACACATTTACTTTCCACCTCGCTAGATAAATGGCATGGTATTGGACATAAATTGTGAGGGGGTGAAATCGTCCAATATGAATTTAAAGTGCTGCCCAACACACATCCTACAGGCCTGTATCCAAAGCAGTTAACATAAACATCTTCCTCCCAACTTAAGTTGCGTGTCACATTTTATCTCATCACATCGCTGCAGTCATTCGCCTTCGTGTCTGTTCTGAAAAATCTGGCCAGCAGCATGACAAATTACCTTTAAATTGTCAGAGTTACAGCTCTTTCAGACAGATGGATAGAGGACGGTTGGGGGGCTGCAGAGCCCGCAGGCGCTTGTCAGAAAGCAAACAGCGTTCTGAATTACGACCGGACGGTTTGTCTCTCTGAGTGAAGGATTATCTTCATACGATGACACACTCGTAAACAGTGCTGAGGCACTGCAATAGATCTCACAGATGCAGTGCCCCCCCCCCCCCCTCTCCGAATGAGGATACTGGGTGAGAGGAGGATTTACGCAGCTAATAATAGAGTAAACTAGATATATTTCCAGAGAAGGATTTCTGCACGTGGCCTATTTATAATTACAGAATCCTATGATGCATCCCTCTGGGTTTAACACCACACCAGTATTAGACTACCGGCATGCTGCGGACACAGGAACTCAGCACACACACACACATAAAGATACAGTGTAATCTTCACACTGCATAAGAGGTGTGTGTTTGAGAGGAAATAGGCACAATAGACACAAGCGACTTCATTTTTATTTTGTTGGACTGCACCTTTTTCACTTACTCTCGGGCCAAGTGGTCATTGCAACAACATGATGTTCCTGATCAGGCTGTGGAGCTGTCAGCAAAGCAGTCACACACTTCATCACAGCACAAAAATAACTGAATAAAAAGTTGTTGCTTTTCATGTCTGTTTGTAATTCATGGTCGGCGCTGCTGCTGGCAGACCAGAAAACATAGAGGGATGTTGTGTTTAGATCACATGAAACTGGATCACGTCAAGTCCACACATGAATGTCTGGCTGTCTTCCAGATCACATTCTAACGTACTATTCACACCAAGTATGACGCCAAATTGAGTATGTGAGCGTTCCAACTGCATACTAGGATTTTGTGTACAGAAAATATGCCAGATTTGTACTAGATTAGCAAGAGTTTCTGAGTATGTGGCAGGATTTTTACTGCACACAACCATCCCAGAATTCATTGTGTTTGCACAGGGTTCAAGCACCACACCCTAGTTTTTTTGTACAATTGTCGTTTACAATTTCATCACTTCTAAGAATTTTTGAGGTAAGAAATCAACTCTGGGGACTTAGACTACTAAAAACTGATGGTGAATCGAAAATGTGCTCCAGTATTCTTGGAGTTGAGAAGCTCAGCAGACAACTTCAAAAATCATTTCTATCTACTGTATTGTCCTTATTCTGTTTAGTTAAGCGCTGCTTAAAGTAAACTTTACAAGATAACATAGCCAGAGACAAGTTCTAAGACAGCACAACTGTCACAGTCCTGGTCTATCTATTCAGACTGTTTTCCTGTTTTATTTTGAAAGCGTCTGTCAGGTGTTTGTCACGTGTGCATCATGTACTGTACATGTTTTTGCTTCTGCCTGGACTGGATGGTTGGATTTTCTTTTACATGTGGACTTTTTTTGGTTCTGCCTTACTGGATCTGGTTTTTGGATTTCTGAGACTCTGTCTTATTTTGTAAGTTTGCTGCTCGTTTAGTTGTTGCTGTATAAATATTCAGATAAGTGACTCCTGCCACAGTTCAATCTGTTTAAACCTGGCAAACCCTGACTAAACGTCACGTGTCTCCTGGACATTGAACACTGAGAAACTGAAATAAAAGTTTTATTAATCTAAAGATTCTGTTTTAATAATAATAATTCCACATTTTACTTGTATAGCACTTTAATGGTACTCAAAGGCACTCAAATGCACTGGAAATAAACACTAGTAAAGATGTGCAGAACATATGCTTCATTTGAAGAGAAATATCTTAAATTCCAGTGGGCTACAACTGCATTAAATGTAAATGCAACTAGAGCATCATGCCACTGAGCTCTGGTGTCTAAAACAACAATATATCCTATTTGTATAGACAGATTTTGCAGACTGTGCATACCACTGATTATCAATAAATATACAACAGCCAGATGCAGCCACCCACGTGTTGTATTTATGTAATTTTATCATCAATATATTTTTAAAAACACATCTTGCTGTAGTGCACTTGAGCAAGACACTGAACTTCATTCTATTCTGGCAAAGACATTTACAGCTAGATGTAAAAACAGTGTGTGCCAACTCTGAAGGTCCCGATCAAAACAGTTCCCCTTTTACCGTCTATTTCAGTCACAAGGTCAGTTTCAAAAATAGCTCACAGCTATAAATTCACTTTCAGAGGAACTGAAGGGTCAGAAGTGAACAACACGGCTGTAAAAGCTGAGCGACGGCTCAGCTTGGATGCGAAAGGTCGATAAAAGAGTAAAAGTTTTTGGATCTTCCTAATCATTTCCTTACTGATAAATGTAATGTGTGCATTTTTCTCTTCTTGTCATTTTATCTTGTCTTGTTTGTTCTTCTGTTGTTTTAGATCAATGTAAGTCCAAATCTGGCTCAGAACCCTTTTCTGGCTAAGATTAAAAAAACTGTATGTCAAATCACTTCCTCCTTCCACAGAGGGTGTGTGCATTCAGATGAGGGATAAATAACCAGATAAAACAAAAACAACAAAAGGAAAGGTCAGTGAAAGACAATATGGTAAACAAACAACTACTAAAAAAAACAGCATTTTTCAAAGACAAATCATACACACACATGCTCGCTGCTGAAAATGTGCACACAACGGCTGAAAGAGTGAAAGACGTGTAGTGGCACTTGAAATCCGGCTACTGAAATGAGTGGAAATGGTAGTAAAAATGATAGTGCTGTAAGAAAATGCAAGCACTGATTAAAGGTAAAGTGTCAATTGACTGTGTCAGCGCTGAGTGAAGCACTGAGAGGAGTTGAACTCTTCAAAGTGTGAAATCGAGCTGCGTACGTCCCATGAAGCGATCTGAAAGAAATGCGTGCTATTTACACTGTCACAGTCTGTACTGTACATCGCTCTGAGATGGGATATATGCAGTTTGACCACATTTAACAGCAGGACAAAAAGCACCTGACTTGACGTTACCTGCTGCCAGCTGTCAGTCAAACAGTCGGGCATCATGCTGACCTTTGACCTTGATCTGTGACTGGGTGGAGGATGTTTGGAAGTGTGACTATTTATTTCTCAACTAACATAGCCCTGTCTCCTCACAGTGCAGTGACATCACTGCTCAGCGTGATGGGATGCTGCCAAAGATTGCCTATGTTTGAGACGATGAATCACTCTGTAAAGAACGGCTGGTTGGCTAACAACAATGCGTGAGCTTTCCTACTGCAATTGATTGACAACAGAAATGGAACTTTCCCCCCGCTGCTAAATTTTATAAATGTTTGGATCATTGTATCAGCATCACTGTAAAATTAAGGAGTCCAAAATGTAAAATAGCAGACTTTAAAGGACAGCTGATTCACATGAGCTGGGATTACAGAAACACATGATTTCAACACCTGCTGTGATCATTTCATGACAGGTACACTAAAACATGGAAGATAGTTCCCCTACAAAAGGAGCTTACTTCCATGCTTTAGTCAAGATCTCTGGATGTTAATGACAAAAGTGACAGAAATGGGTCATTTCATTAACACAGGCCTAAGATACAAAGGTGTTAATGAACTATATGAAAGGCTTAACCCCAATTACTTAACCACAAAGGGTGGTTTGCTCCAAACGCATCAGCACATCAACATCTTAACCAACTCAAAGTGTTTGTGGCTGGGATGCAGACACAGAGACATAAATACATGATTTATACATACAATGATTTTGCAAGATGTAATCTAACACGGGGTAAAAACCAAGTCAGGCAGACTAAAAAGAGTTCTCCTACTTCAAAAAGACCAAAAAAACCTGAGAAACAAGAAAAGACAGGATGTCTCAAAAATCACAAAAACGTATCTTAGTATGAGATTTTAACGGGTGTATTACCAGCAGTGAATGGACAGTCAGCAGAGTTGGGGGTTGATTGTGCGATGAGTGGAGAAGCCACAGGTGGTTGGTGATTGGTCCAGACTGGAGAGTGCAGCGCCACGCCCAGTCACACACGCACACACACACACAAACTGAAACACCGGGGGGGGTCATAGGAAACATTAGGAACCAATAGGGACACAAACATCCATCAGAGAAGTGTCAGAGAACAAAGGAGCTGATGGGCATATCTTTGAGAAAACATTTGCAAAAACAGAACACTCAAAGTGCTGGAAATATCCAAAATGTCCAGTGATATTGTACATTTGCCTGTGTGCATCACTACTAAGTGTTGTACTGTTGGTTAAAGTTGAACTTTTAAAAATGTTTACCTTTCCAAATAAGTAAATAAGACTTGTGTTGTTCAAAGACTGTGTATTGAAGATGGTAAGTTATAAAAATATGTACTAATGATTACCTAAACTATAAAACTAAAAGCCATGTTGTCATCATCCCATTAAATTCTCATTGTCTCACAGCCCACACATGTAAGAATAATAAATAATGTATTTATAGAGAGTGACCCTCAAGCTTCTCTAACACGGTTTAAGTAGCCATGGTCAGAGCGTGAGGCAGAGTGGCACCTCTTGCCTCACGTCCATCTTTGCACGGTGACATAGAGGAGGCAGCAGCAGGCCAAACGGGGCCGAACTGACGGTGGGAGGGTCTGGGTATGGAGATGGGGGTGATGCTGGTGCCACTGAGCATGCCAAATGAGCAGATGAGGACAGTAATGTGATCTCAGTTGAGTGACAGGACCTCGATTTTTTTTTCTACAGGGGTTTGACAAGACTATAAAAGAGTCAAAGGCTGCAGCTGCAGGCAGAAGAGACAGACACACGGGGAGACAGAGGACCAGTGGACTTAACGCTACCTCCAGTGACCCACAGTGCTGTTAAACTAATTCATACCAAGGAGAAGAATGGGACTGCACAGTGTTGAGGAACTGGTAAGATGTGCTGATGTGTGTGAATGTAAATGATGGCAGTTATGAGAGAGACGAAGGGGCAGAAAGAGTACCAAAAAGGAGCTGTAGGACTTCTATTACTCAACTATTTATGTAAATCAAATGTTATTTTTCCCTGGTTTCAAAATGATTCTCAAAATGTGTCAAAGCAAGAGATCTTTTTTGAGAACCTTAAGTGAACTTATTAAAATAAGAATATAAAGCACGTTGGTGACGCTCTGCTGGAAACTGATGATGCCTGAAATACCTCGACTGTGGTGAATTTAGATTTTGCATTTACATGTAAATTAGTTCCCGTGACATTTGTGATTTGTCTTAACTTAATGTGAATGTAATTAAACATTGAAGGAATTAAAATACTGATTGCTAAGGATCATATACATTCATTGAGAGGTTCTCTTCTTCCAGTGTTTAAAAGTCCGGTAGACTTATTTAGAAACTATTGGCAGTTTGAGTGATTCAATAACATGTTGTGACTCATTAAAGAGTTGAAGTGTGTGTTAATGTTTTACAGCTGGTGTGCTTACATTCCTCTGTTAGTAGTGGCTCTACTGAACGCTGGACCAGCACAAAGCAAACGCTCTCCTGCTGAGCTTAGATTAAGACATTAGAGTGGGAACCTGTTAACGGTTTCAACCTTTTCCCAAAGTCATCTTCTCATTACCTTGAGGCTCTACTCAATGTTTAGTTCTTCAAGTTACTGTTAATTATTGAGCTACTCTACTCAAAATATAAAGACTCACTTAAAGCTTGAGAGATTTATTAGTGATATTATGTTTGCCAAAAATCTGATTCTTTGGCACAAACATCTCCTTTCCAAGAGCCAAAGAAATTGAGCCGTAAGATCCAGCTGTAATTCCCATCGTCGCTTTTATGACCTTTTTTTATGAAATCAGGTGTTACCTCTGTGTGGAGTCCAAAGACACACAGTCAGTGTTACACTTTTATAGGTTTTATTATCATTTATACACCTCCCTTCTCCCCTTCAGGTGTCCGGTAAGAGGTCAGATGGCAGAGAGGCGGACGACTTCCAAGGGGGCGTGTATGAGGCGGCTGTCAATCAAGAGAAGCAGGATGACCGCAGGTCCCACAGGGAGCTGGCGGGCGGAGGTCTGTCAGAGGAGAGCGACAGTGGCAGCGAACAGGAGGAAGTCAGCGTGGCGGCTCTCAATGTAAGAACACACAGAAACAACAACAACAGAGCTGCTGTGTAACTGAGTTTTAAGTAAAAGTCATTTTGATATCAGGTGCCTTGTAGGTGTGACAGTTAGCAGCTGAAGTAAAGGTGGTAACAGGAATATTAGGTTGCAATGGTGGAAGACGTATTCAGATCATTTACTTTAAGTAAAAGTAGCAATACCACAATATACCAGTAAATACACTCCATTACAAGTAATTGTTCTGTACTTCAGGATTGTCAGTATACTGTGTATGTACGGGACAGGCAGAATAGATAGTTACATTATTACATTATTGGACTGATATTATTGATGCATTAGCATGTAAGAAGTACTTTGAGTTTTCTGAGGTGCAGTAAATTGTAACTGTTTTAGTTGATTTTTAAATGTAATCATTAACAGCGCATCACATTTTATAAACCGATCAGTTTTGTATGTAAAATCTTAATCTGTAAAATAAACAGTAACACCTGTCAAATAAATCTAGAGGAGTAAAAGTTCATTATTTTCCTTAAATAGAGAAAGGAAAGAGGTAAAGTAGAGGTACAAACTGACATAAAAATAAAAATAGTGATAAAGTAGTAACATACAAATATAATAGAAATATAAAAATAGGTTAAATGTACAGACTACATAAACAGAAAGATGTGATTGATATGGAACATTGCACAGGTTGCAGCAGAAGGTAGTTGCACGGTGTAGAAATAAATGTGATGTCACTGGACAAAATATATATACAGCTGTAATGGTTTAAAGGTAAAGAATGAGCACTTAAAAGTTGTGCATAAATGCAATGCTTGTGTACTTTGTTGCACTCCACCACTAGTAGTTAGTCAGTTACATTCTTTACAGTGCCAGACAACATTTGTCAGACCAGAACATAACTATATTCCATCAAACAAAGATCTTCTGCTCTTCTGCTTGGTTCTACAGAAACAACATCTGCCACAAAAGGTTCCTTAACAATCACTGAAACATTTTACCAAAACGTTTTGCCCTTAAATGATCATATAATTAGAAAAACAGAAAAACATCAGACTGACTTCATCTTCATTCCCTCCAGGAAGACCAATAAAGCTGCCTGTTTCTTTCTCTGGTGATGTTCTTGAGAGGACTTTTGGTTATAATCTAGTTTTTATTAAGGACACACGGTACAAAAAAAAAATTGAACAGACAAACACTAAGTAGTCAAAGGAAAAAACAGACATTTATTTTACAATATTAAACAGACATAGTGCACAAAATTAAATTAAATTCTGCTTCATATAAGAAGCCTCTACACTGTAGTGGTTGTAGTAGTAAGTGAAAGTGGAAGTAGTACTAGTAGTATACATAATCATAATAGTAGAGCGATAGAGATTAAGTTGTACTTATAACAGTAGAAGTATATTTGAGTAGTGCTAGTGGTAGTAGTGATATGTATAGTATTAGTTGCAGTAATAGCAGTAGCAATAGTAATAGTACTAGAAGTAGTATACTCATACAACTCAACAAAGATAATCCGTCTTTTCTCTGTATAAACGTGTTTACAGCGCTCAGACTGTAAGGTTAAGGTTTAAATGATGAATTAAACTTGGTGCACCGAACTATGGTGCAGCAGGAGGTGAATACAGGTGCAGAAATAACTAAAGCTGCATTTCAAATGAGACTCAAGGATCTCTTTATTGTCCCCGAGGGGCAATTTGTTGGACAGTCGCACAACTATCAAGCAACCAATACATAAATAGACAAACAATAAATATGACATAAGAAAATACACCAGGGTTTAAAAGGCCCCAGTTAAAATAAAATAAGGTGATAAAAATAACCAACACTAAAATAGAATCACATTGAATTATTTAAAAGGCCAATGGCAGCTGGGACAAATTACTTTTTATGTCGATTTGTCCTGCATGTTGGCATCACACAGACTCACACACTGTTCACTATTTAAATCCAGTATATGATCTTACACCAGGACAGCAGCGCCCGTTAGTCTCTGAGAGTCTGTATTTACTGCCCGTGAGTTTGTTTCTTGGTCAGTGCTGCCACCTGAAGGCATGAGGGAGTATAACATTTAATATGCACGTTATTTATTTATCACTATTGTTTAGTGAATAAATAACAGAATAGAAACTGCTTTTCAGATAAAGTTTCTTCTTTTGTCGTTGTTGTTGTGTTTGTGTGCTGAATCTATCTGTGTTGTCGCTGCCCTGTCAGACGGATAAAAGCGGCAGGCTGAAGTTGGAGACGGTGGACGACCTGTTCAACATCCTGCAGCTGAAGAAGAGGAGAAGAGAGAGGAAGACTCCCATCCACAAGAAACAACAGCCCGAGCCTGAGACTGTGGTGAGATCCTATTCTTTATTTCTCTTCATCTCTTAGTTTTCCAACTGCGCAAACAAACATTTAACTTTGTTTTCCTCAAGAGAAAGATTGTAATTATTTCCTTTGGAATGTGTTTCCTGAATTTTTCGTTATACCACAGATAATATGGTTTTATATTGCAACTGCGAGGACACAATCACATGTTTGAACGTCTGTTGCCAGAAAGTTGCAAGAGAGTTTAGGGGCAGAGTCAGGTCATACATTTAACAGCGAAATCTATTGGGGTGAAAACAGTATTTTCAAACTTTTAGTGCATTTGTTTTTATAAAAACACTTGGGATAAAAGTCATAAAACCAGACAAAGAACTGAACAGCGGTAACCAACTCTCTGTTTCTGTCTGTTGGTCAAATGAATGATCACTGAGGTTTTAACTGACCCAGGTACATTGTTCCTTTAAAGTTTGTAAGTAACTGTTTTTGCATTTGTCTTACCTAAACCAGCCAGAGACTGTGGATGAGCAGCTGTTTCTGACAGCTGCCATGGAGAACAAAGTGCCTGTGGTGGAGAAGTACCTGAGTGATGGAGGGAACCCCGATGCAGCTGACCACGTGAGTGTCACACAGCAATGTCTGCCTCTGGGAGTTGAAACATGGCAATTGATCAAAATCTCATTAAAAAATGCAAATGGGCATGTAAAAGAAATGTTCACATCTGACACATTATCATACTTTCAGGAAGAAATACATGAGGAGCTGAGGCTAATAAGAACAACATAAGATCTTTTTAGAGTATTAATTTATCATTAAATAAAGTCACATAATTGATTTGCTTTTAAATGATCACCGGTTTCGGTAAAGATACTGTTCTTGATTCAATAAAAAGGAAACTTTTAAAATCCTATCCAGTTCCAGAGAACAGCTCTGCACAAAGCCGCATTCAAAGGACACGTGGAAGTCATGAAAAGACTCCTGGAGGCCGGAGCTGCCATCGACAAAAAAGACAAAGTGAGATCCATTTTCTTTCTTTTATTCTTTTTCTTTCTTTTTATTGAGTCTCTTGTGTGATATCTACGCATACTGTAAACAGACACATAAATACACACACACCCACACGGCATCAGTCTAACAGTTTGGCGTGTGTATGGGTGTGTTTCAGCTGGAGGCCACTGCGGTCCACTGGGCCTGCAGAGGAGGCAACCTGCCAGCCCTGCAGCTCCTCCTCGACCAGGGAGCCAAGTTCACCTACAGAGACAAGGTTGGTACGCACACTGGATTTGAAAGACTCTCTGCTGTCAGAGAACAAGATCAGAAGCAGCACAGAGTACCTATCCCCTCATGTGTAACTTAAAGCCAAATAACGTGTGCATGTTTTGAAAATTCCTTCTGGTGGTGGTATCAGTAAATACTTCAGTGTCAACAGCAATGCACACAGCAACAAACAGCCACACCCAACACAACACCCAAGTCTGTGATGATTTGTGAATAAATCTACAGTAGTGAGCACAACATATACAGATTAGGCTGTTTGGATGTTTTCCTTGCATTAATCAAGAACGTTGAAATTCTCCCCTCTCCTCAGTTGCACAGCACTCCTCTCCATGTCGCTGTGAGGACGGGACACTGTGAGTGTGCAGAGCATCTCATTCACTGTGGAGCAGACGTCAACGCCAAAGACAGAGTAAGGACTCAGAGAGACACAATGCAGAGATCACCAGTCTTCTAACATCCAATCACCTGCAGCAGGACATAAAGCTTACAACACAAACCAATATCCAACCATTTTGTGTGCACACAAAATAATTTGTAAAGGAATAATCTGTAATTTGTCATTTCTACTGAGTGCCAAGTTATTGTAGCAGAAGTGAGTTGTGGCTCTGGAGGAGCAGCCAGTGTTAGCCGCAGCTTAGCAGCAGTGTTTTGGAATTTATGTGCCAGCAAATAGGGAATTCAGAACACATATCACTGATTTGTTCAGAAATAATTAAACCATTTGCCCTGATACCCGACACACTCTGAAAGTTGCAAGACAGTAAAAGAAACAACTTGATCTTTCAGACCTAAGAGACAATACCTTTACTACAAACTCAGGTTTTCCTTACTTAGATTGAGAATCAATTACCTACACTGAGTATCTGTTTTCCTCCCTGACTGAAGGATGGAGACACACCCATGCACGATGCTGTGAGGATAAACAGATTCAAGATGATCAAGCTGTTGATGATGTACGGGGCCAGTCTCAACACTAAGAACTGTGTAAGTTCAGAACCACACCTCAGCACTAATCGTCTGAAAATATATGTGAAAATGGCATATTTGTTATCAAAGGCAACATGTTCAGAGGCACCAAAAATCAACTTCAGAACTTCAGGTTACTGTGGGTTGCAGTGGGAGAAGACGTATTCAAATGATTTACTTAGTAAAAGTTGCAATAGCAATGTATAAAAATAATGAATTAAAACATTTAACATTTTACTTAGAACTGTTGCACAAATGTCTTGGACTAACCAAGTTCCATTTAAAAACATAATTGACATCAAATTTTATGAATTTTATTTATTGAACTTATCAAAACAGAAACATGAAACCCAGAAGAAGAGCCTGCTTCTTGGCGTTGCTGTGGGCAACTGTAAAAAGCAGTATATAGATCCATGCCTAATATGAGAAAGAAGAAGTATATTGGGCGTGCATGAAGTAGAGGGGGACAGGGACCTTGTCTGCCCCGGGCATCTTCTCTCCTGTCTGCTCTGATGCCAGTCAGATTTGTTGCTGACTTGAGATGCAGCAGTGAAGCTTTGTAGCATCCATTAACATCATATCCAGTTCCTTGATCTCTGATCTCAGCTTGTTAGAAATGTCCCTAAGAGGGGAGGCTGATGAGGGTACTTGTTTGTCAAATCAATTAGATTGGTGCTCCAGAATGTGCTTGGTTGTGTTGGAGGCAGACCTGGAAGTAAGAAGTAGGATGAAGTACGAAAAGTAGGAAAACATTTGCTGATACTATTTGTCATAGAATTAGTAGTAAAAAAATGCATATACATATATATATATATATATATATATGTATGTAGTATCAAGAGTAAAATGTGCAGGTGTGCCCTGATGGCTCAGGAGTTGCACTGGACATTAACCGGTTTGCGTCTGGCCAGGGACCTTTGTTGAGTTTCATTCCCCATCTTTCAATCTATTCATTTCTTGTCAGCTCTTTACCGTCCACATGATAATAAAGACCCAAACTATATATGCAAAATGGATTGAGTCAATGTTATATTATTATATTACTGTATCATTATTATAGATATATTTATGCGTATGCTGTATTTAAATGTTGTGGCTTGAGGTAGATCTAATTCTAACTACTTAATCTATAACTATGCATATTTTTTATTTATTTTATTTTTAACAGTACTATGTACGATGCAAAGTACAAGTCCATCGAAAATATACTTGAGTTTACACTGTTGTTGAGTTTTGACGTGCAGTCTTGCGTGTTTATTTCTTCTGTGCAGGATGGAAAAACTCCAATGGAGACGCTGTATTCGTGGCAGAACGGAGCCAAGAGCCTCCTGTGCAACTTCAGCCATGAGAAGTCCAACCAGTAGAACCCACCACATTCCAGTAAAAGCAGGAATTCAACACGACCTGTTGGCTCGTCAGGAAAAAAAGTGGTAGAAAAGGAAAAATGTTGTATTTTTCTAGCCCATTCTAGTCACTTCCAAACTGCGGTTCATGAAGCACATAAGTCTGTTTTGTGACTGTTTATCCAGGGAGGCTTTGTTGACCCCTCAGGAAGTAACTGTTATTAAATCTAAAGTTGGCTCAGCTGGAGTGTTTGGATGCTGGAAGACATCTTAACTAAGAGAGCGTTAATCATTACCTTACCTTACTCCTCCTGGTTCAGGGATTTGAACTGGCAACCTTCCAGACTTTTACCGGTAGGCTATTGGCAGGGTTACATTTCCTCACGTACATCTTGTGTGTGCGGGAGAAGGCAGCAGGGATTTGAAGGAGCCTTTGATCAACAATGTGAAATCTAATCAGGATGTTGTTAATAATGTGATCATTAGGACTGAGAGATTCATTGATCGCCAAGTATTGCTGGACAATGTCTCGGGCAACAGCGTGATGTTTTTTTACTTTAAGCTGAGTTGAAGTCAGCGATACTGCATCGAGAAGATGGCGTATTTATTGATTAATGGAAACTATCAGCAATCAGTTTATTGGGTGTGATTGATTTTATTTCGATACCATACACGTAATAACTGAGAGTTATATTGTGGTTGGTTTAATGATGTTTTTATGGTTAGATTTTAAACAATTACATCAACTTTTCTGATTTTAATTTACTAACTAATGAAAAGCAGTAGCTTTTCCAGATGTACATCGCCCGGCTCACTTTCCTTGCAGTCCCACTGGATAAACACTCTGTTGATTATTTCCTGAAGTTTTTATTTATTTGTATATATTTTGTCAGTGTGATAGATGATGTGTGTTGTTATACTTAAACATGCAGATGAGTTTAACCAGGTTCTTTTGTCTTGTGCATTTCACGATCGAGAGATGAGACAGGATGAAGTGAGTCTTTGGAGCAGGAAGAAGAATTTCTTTATTTACAGAGGATCAGGATCAGCTTTATTGCCAAGTAGATTCACACATACAAGAATTTGTTTTGGTGACTTGGCACATAACAAAAGTAGAAGTAGTACATAAGTGGAAAATATATGAAAGATAAAGTAAGTACTGCAAGTACGAAGGTAAGAGAGTCAGAGGGGGTCCCGGGCCTTGTTGATGAGGGCAGCTGCTGTGATCTGCACATTTACACGTCTACTATGTTCTACAAAAGTAACCGACTGTAGACAATGGACAACTACGTACTTTAGACCTTGTCTCCTGCAGCACCATGACTTTGAGTCACATTATAAAATGTCCTTTATAAACTCTACCTTTACAAATCCATCCTGCTTTAATGCATACAGAGAAGTTGAGCAAGTGTGCTTGATATTCACACTTTTTTTTTTTTTACTTCAACTCATCTCGGTCTCGTCTACAACTTCCATCCATCCATCCATCGTCAACTGCTTATCCTGCGTACAGGGTTGCGAGGTCGTCTACAACTTTTTCCTTCAAATTCAAAACATAATTTATCATTTTGAAAATATTTAAATGTAATACTTTATTTATTATTTCCGTTGCTAAAACCCTCCAACCGTGTGTATCTAACTGTCCTCAAACCTCAAGCATTGCTTAGGCATTTGTTAGTAGGTTTAGTCAAGATCATCTTGTTCAGATTTTCCCAGCTTCTTCTACTGAAGCACAATTTGAGCATATGGAGTCCAAACAACTTATCAAAGATCACTTCTCTGATACAAAAAGAGCTTCAACTGACCCCAGCTCTGCCACAACATGACCCAGACATCTCAGCTGACGCCCCCTTTTTGTTTTGTTGCAATGATATTTTGGGAATGTGGCCCTTTTCTCTGCAGAGTCCTAGTTATGCTTAGGGTCCTACCTCTAAAAAACAAACACACACACAAAAGAGTGTGAAAAAGAATAGTAAAGAAAAGTCACTGTTGGTTCAGAGGATGTATGGCAAGTGGTTATGTGGATAAAACATGTCTTGATTTATGAATGGTAATCAGATTTATTTTTTATTGTATGTTAGATAAGTTAATATGTATGTAAAATGTGCCTTGTATTTATGGATTGACTGAATAAAACAGATTGTGTTTTTAGGCTTTCTTTTATTGAGGGGAGGGGGGGGGGTGATGACGGGGGGGGGGGGGACTGATGTATAGACTCAGTGAATACCTGTCAACATTGGGATTTGAAATAGTAACTAATAACATAAAAAATGAGTGAAATTTTCAGGCATACGTGAGAATCCCCACATGGCCATTGAAACACAGACACAGACAAATCTGGGCTGCGACTAACGATTATTTTCATCATCGACTGATCTGCCGACTATTTTCATGATTAATCAACTAATCGTTACCTATACCTATAAAACATCAAGAAATTGTGAAAAATGCTCATCACAATTTTCCAGAGCCCAAAGTGACGTCTACAAATTGCTTCTTTGGTCCAACCAACAGTCATCATAAATGACAAAGACTAGCAGAAATTCCTCAATTTAAGACAATGAAACCAGCAAATTGTTTAAATGATTAATTGATTATCAAAATAGTTGTTGATTAATTTTCTTTCAACCAACTAATCGAATATCAAATAATCGACTAATCGTTGCAGCTCTTAAGTAGCTAAAAATTGTACTAAAGTTCTGTTACTTTGCAAAAACAAGTAAAAGTGATCATCAAAATAACTACTGGAGTTAGAGTACAAAAGTAATTAGTGAAAAATGACTTCAGTAATGAATAAATTAAGAAATAAAATAAACTTTCCCCAAAATCTTTTATTTTAACTGAATGTGACTGGAATTATTTCAGCTACTGATGGTCTTCCTCAGGTAAAGGTATAGAAGCAAACATACAGTTGTATTTATTTGAGGAAAGTCTTCATCTCTTGATTAGATAACCTGTAACATTTTCACCAGGACAATAGCCTACTCCCAGAGTGAACCTCTCAAGTGTGATCAGGGTGTGAACTACAGGGCAGCCAGGAGAAGCTTAGCTCCTCTTAGTAAGACATCAGCTCCCGTAAAAGCAGGATTTGTCATATTTTGACATTAATATTGCCTACATATTGCCATTCATTTCTATATTTCTCTATCATCATGTATCCATGCGTAAATTTAGGAGCGTCAGACTTCATCCAGCCAGAAGGAACGATCACCGACTGTCCGCAGCGGGCCGGTGTTATGCCGAGTTTGGCCTGCCTGCCGAGAATTGCACGCACCTGCAAATACTACTTTTAAACGCTATAATATTCTTTGTGGGGTCCATCAATGGTGTTTAATGATTCAAAGTATATATTTTATGAACATTTAGAGTAATATTTCAATACACTTAGTAGAAGTACCATTCCTTGACATTCAGTAAATATATGTGGTGATAACGCCGTTTAATCAATGAGCACAGCAGAGTGTCTGAAAAGGACCTAAAGAGGTGGATGCATAATTCTGCAGATCAAATTTTGTAGGCTACCTGTGGAGATTTGCATCCACCTCTTTACTCAGCATAAATGACCGTTATCACCACGTGGTGCATGCAATTCTCTGCAGGCAGGCAGAATTGGGCACAAGAGCTGTTGATCTCCTGTCCCTGGTTCGCCCCACCCCCTCTCCGGTACAAGTTGTGTCACTAGTACGACCCACGAGCTTTAAGTGGTTCGTGATCGTTCCGTCTGGCTGGATATTTGGCATAATCCATGCACTCTTGCAGCTGGGGGCTCTCCGCAGCGCCACGCAACTTCAAAATTCTTCCCTCTCACGGAAAAAAGAAAGGATAGGTCACAAACAGCTGTTGTGTGAAGCGTTATTGTAGCAAAATGGCTACATATGATATTAATTATATTTTTCTTATTATAATAATAAGACAAACATGCCTGATACTTTCAGTCAGCCCAGGCCTACATGCTTGCAACTATTAATGATTCGATTAATGATAAGATTAATGATAAGAATCAGTCATGCCTCCTGCAGACTACATGCCTTACCGGGAGTCTTGAAGTTGTGGCGTTCACACTATGTGACTGAATGGTGACAGGGGGTCACACGCTACATGAGCTGACAGACTCTGTCTCTGTCACCTGACGCTGGTCTCCAAACCACGTTTAGTCAAGAAAACACACGTGCAATGTCAAACGGGAAATGACGCTAACCTACACATGACACAGCTGTTGTTGGTTATTATAAAGATACCAATTATAAAGACAATCAAATCTGGGTGAAAGAATGGATTAGCACAAGCAGATAGCAGGGATTGTCTGAGCTACAGAGAGAGCTGGAGGTGAGTTAAAAATTGTTTTGCGGTGAAAAAGTAGCTGTCTGCTCTGCCAAAAGCCTGCTGTCATTGGCTGGATGTGGATGTCGAGTCGGCCGACACCGCCAGATATTTGGCTAGATATCTGACAGACGTCTGCCATGTGTCAGAAATGTGTCGGGGAGCCGCTTTGATGCGTCGTTTTGTAGTTCACACCTAATGACTGGCGACCGCCAATCGACCACTGATTTACCCCCGATCATAACAGCCTGACGGTCGCCGAGCATACCAAGAGAAGAATTCTTTGGATAATTTTCATAAAATAAACAAACACAAACTACTACATTAAATAAGTTACTCATTCTTTCAACTGTTTTTGGAGACAGACCCCGAAAGACCTCTAGTGGGCACTTATATCAACCTGATCTCATCTCAGGCGTCACATATACACGTTTTGGAAAAAACGTGTCTATAGTACGCAAAACGGCAATTTTGCGTGTGTATGTTACGCTGCAGTTTGCAATAGCGTTGCAACACAAAGGAGGCTAACACTACCAGCTGATGGGTTAGCCACTCGACATACATGTATTTACTGACTTAGGTTTAGGCACTAACTTCTGACTAGACTAGTTTTACAAAAATCAGTAAGGGAAACCAAATTACAGCAGACAGGCTGCTAGCTGGTCTCACACCTGTAGTTCTGTTCATCTAGTCGAGACCAGGGGAATCTGACACAGAGACCCACACATCAGGAGACAGCTTCAAACAACATGCTGGCAACTCGCATAAACTCCCACTACAATGTTACAGTAATATTGTTATCAGCTTGACCAGAGACACTCAAAAGATTTAGCACAGACTTATATCAGTAAACATCCCACCCCCAGGGGTCTGCCCAACACTACCATTTGCTGAGCACAGCTAAATGTAATGGAGGATAACGAAAACGGTTAGTGAGCCTGTACTATGGGCTAGTATAAAATAATTGCTCCGCATTTGCTTTGTACCATTATATAATTTCTTGCAGGCTAAAATCAACATTTTGACACAATACCGGTGGTACACTTTGATAGTAATATGAGTTGCATCAGTATTTTATAGCATTTTGCACCGGATGACGATAGCAACTTGACGGTGTTAGCCAGCGAGCTAACGTTATCTAACTCGAGCCAACTAAACCGCAACATCACAATTCACAATTTGAAATAGCGTAAAACCAACTCTGTGTTAGTTTGGTTGATTCCAAAACAAAGCGGAGGTCTCTCTGTGACTCAAGCCTTCCCCATCTGATTCTCCTTTGGCCTGACGGGCTTCAGCACTTAAAACTGTTTCGATGTTTCATGTTCCATGGAGTTTGTGTTGAAGTCTATGTTGTGCTGGGAAGCTGACCGTTTTTTTGTGTTAGGGAACTCCATGTCATTATCTGCAGTGTTGTTTCTGTGTGTACACAGTACAGAATCAGAAGGCAAGGGGCTCGGGAGCACACATGCAGTCACAGTCTAGGGATTTTGCCGAAAATCCGACTCAGTCTTCGCATAGGAATAGGCATACTGGCCATCAGAGGTGACAGAAAAACCTGGCAAGTGGGTAATTTTGATGTGAGGTTACAACCCCTTCACACACAGGAAATAAAAGATGGATTTGTTTCAATAAAAAACTACATATAGCCCCTTAATCAAAAAGAATCTGTTTTGCTTCTTGATTAAAGGAGAATAATTATAGATATCAACTTACAGCTACAAACTTCTACTGCTAACTTATTATTGGCCTCCATTTCTCCTCCTGTTTCCTCCCCTTTCTCTCTCTCCCTCTTTCTCTGCCTACATGAAGCTGACTGTGGAAATGTTGTCATCATTCATACTGATGGACTGCTGATATCATTGCTGTCCATTCTGCAGCAACACACAGAGGCCAAAAGCTTGTCTATGGTCCCTTTCCTCATGAACACATACAGGAACAAGTCTTCAAGAGGATTCAACCTAACAAATGTTTGTGACACGATGGTGACGATGTAATAATTTGTGTCTAAAAAAACCATTATGCTGGGCAGGAACAGCAGCGTGTAAATAAGCAGCACCAGAACCAAAACTCCCACAGTTCGACGTTTTTCATCAGAGGGGACCGAGATGGAAGCAGACAGGGCTCTGATGGTCCCAGTCAGGAAGAAGATTAACAGCGGGAAGGGAAGGAGGAGGAGGACAGCGTTAATTATGTATGTGACCACACTAACAACGTGAACGAAAAGAACAACACAGACAGAAAGAAGAGAAAGGACCCAGACCAGGACACAGAGCACCACAGAGCTCTTGATGGTTCGTCTGCAGCGGTACCACAGTGGGTGGGCGATGACCAAATACCTGTAATACAAGATGGACACAAAGTCTTTGAGGAGCTTCAGAGTTATAAACTAATATAATGTTCAGACACAGAAGGAGCTCCACACATACTGGATAGACAGACAGATACCTTTCCAGGGCGATGCAGACCATGAAGTAAACACTGGCAACCAGACCAAAGTGGTAAATGCATAAGAAGATGGCATTTATCTGTTCATTATTTGGTGTCACATCAATGATCATGCTGCAAAGCTTAAGGATGTCGGCAATGAGGAGGTTGATGACGTAGATGGGAGCAACATGATCACTTCTCACCTGCAGGAAAACATTGGTAAAAGTCAACAAGCAGTTGGAAACATGTTGTGAAGTTCTAAACAGAGGGTTTATTATATTTTCACCTAATTTATTGAGGTCATGCAATATTTCACCTATCAGATTGCAGAGAAACATAATGTGTGTGTGTGTGTGTGTATATAGCTCCTACATTAGACCCACCACCACACAGTGAGTGTCA